GTACTTTATGTAACTAATAAACAAAAAATAGCTATTAAAATAAATATTGCGGTCAAATAAAAAAATACATATGTGTATTATATCTTACATAAAGAATTATAGAAATATTTATAAAATTTAATCTTAATTTGTACTGATATACTTTACAACTTTTAAAAAAGTCAAAAATGATTGGCATTGCTATTCTTGTATTAATAACGAAGAAATTTTAAATTTGAACATATTTTAAGACACGAGCCTTGATTCAGTGGATAAGGCTTATTGTAAACTACATATTATTTATGTAAAGTCGAAAACAATTTAATAATGTACAAAAAAAATGGGGCGTCACAATATTTTTCATCCATTTGACTAGACTCCTTTAATCAATGAATAAAAAAAATTTCGACTTAAATAAAATTTGCCAATCCAAAAAATACAATCACTAAACAAATACACCAGCTTATTAAAAAAAATACTGATTAAACCTTTTTTCGTCTTACGTAAAGAAACTTTCCGCATTTTAGTTAATTATACAACCAATACTTACACATCATACAACTACTTCTACAAACGTAAAAATAAAATATGGAGAAAGGTAATGAAGGGATGAGATTCAGTTCGTGGTAAAATAATTAACACAATTTGTACAAATATTTTTTTATAACATCCACGTGAAAGAATACAATCTTCTTTTCCAAGTTGCCCTTCCATCGATTCCTTCTTTCTTCATTCCTCTTCCTCTTTTTCCTTAATCTTTTTGAATCCTTAATTAATTAAGTCTACTTTGTAAGATTAAACGCAAGAAAAAAGAAAAACGACACGCACGCGATTACTTATTTAAAAGATACATTGAAACTAAAATCGAAATTTCATCGTACATTTGAGCTCTACTATTTGGTAATATTTTACTTAAAACAGAAAAGTCGGTTCCTGACAGAAACAAAGGGAAACCGACGAATAGAGAATCTAACACATTTTCGTTTACAATACATATTAATCAGTAATGTTACATTGACAGTAATCTAGTTAAGATTTTAAATAGAGCGTCACATGATAAGTGAAAATAAATCCTTAATGTCGTGAACGATGGGACTCGTCCCTACGATCTCGGTCACGGTCCCTTTCCCGTTCGGCATCTCTCCTGCCTGATTCGCGTTCTCTGTAGCGATCTTCGTAATAACGAGATTTTGACGAGGGATCTCCTGCTGCGTCCACTGCTTCCGGTGAAGATTTCCTTGGGCGGGACACGCGAGAACTAGAAACGATTTCATAAAGAAAGAACCTTTTTTGGCGCAAAATTCATTAAAATCGTTACTACTACAATGATCAGTAATAATACATATTTACAAAGTTTATATTATAGAACAAAATGAAAAAAATCCTTGGCAGCTTTAACAATTATTTTGAAAGTGGTTGTTATTCAAGCATTTCTTATATTATAGGTGTAAAATATAAATTATAATCTAT